CATTATTCGACCACAAAGTTAGAAGGCTACTGCTTACAATTTCACACACAACAGAGTTAACTACCAGTTCCCTCAGTTTATGCTATAAAGTTGTAATATGAGCATCATCAGTTAAAAAGAGCAGAACTCTCAAATAATAATCTCACAAAATATTTGTAAACCTGCGCACCCTGTCTCTGGCTAGTTGTGATATGCTGTGCCAGCTTGTCAGATCACCCACTTTCATTCTGTAGCCACATATCCTACTATCCTGTGTGAGAGCGCATTTCCTAAAAAAGGCAGTCAACTAAATTAATGCTAACGAATCGTACTCGTTCTGTTGTTTTAATATATACGATTCAGAAAATATGAACGTAAAAATATCTAGACCATTGCACACCCACAACTTTAGCTGCGGGATAACTCAATGGGGAAGGACGGAAATAGCATGTAGATTACAGTGTGGATGTTCAGAGTCTAGCCCACTGGAGAGGCATGTTTTATCATACCGTGGTCCATGTATATCTGTTGGAACAGCTTCTATTGTTAGGGTGTTGCTTTCTACACACTCCTCTACATCCTTAGCCAACTGTGAAAAATAAACCATGGTGCACAGCATTACATTTAAATGGACATTAGTTATAAACATTGATGAGTAAACAATATTCATTAATCATTAGTCTTGAGTAGAAAATCCTTGAAATAATTTGACGATTTACCTATATATACTATTACCTACTACCAGGAGTAGATAACAAACAAAATTTGATAGTAAACACTAAAATAATTGTGATAGTACGTTTCAGTCTCGTGAGGGCAAAAATCATGTGCTAGTTTTGTTGACATATGTAAATAATTTAATTAGACATGCAGATTGGTGCACATGTTGGTGAAAAGAATGATGTGCGAGTGTTCTACGACATGTTAGCCTCGCTATATACATTTGGTGTTACGCAAGGAGTACCGGTAGGTATCAGAACGGTCGAGAAAATATGAAAACGATTGGTAAAAACATGAGAAATCCTGGTTTTGAACTGACCTCAGTATTGCAATATGTCAGACAGGGAATGATGTCTTCTGCATAAATCCTCGCAAGGAATGGATTATGATGATCAATCTGTGGATTCTCCTTCCAGTCAGCAAACTCCTGATATAATGCTGGGTCAATCTGCAATATAAGAGTAAATGTAGAATCCACTACATATTCGTCAAGCACCCCTGGTAAACCAAGTCCCTTAATGATTTAATATATTACTATAGCAGAGCAGATATAAACTTGATCAACATTACGATTACAATATACATTCGTAGATAAGTTACTCATATTTATCACATTATTTGTCCATAGTGACTTTTGAATTCAAATGATATATCAACTTCACCGTACAATCTGTACATGCCTTTTACAATGTTTTAGCAAGCAAAGTGTGGCAAATGTGTGTCTTTTCAAAGAAGCTACCAAGCACCTGAATATGATCCTTTACTACAACTAGAGTCTGGGATATTGCAGGGGGAGATAGTGCAAGTTCCCTCTTCATACTGGCATCACAGTGGCTGGTCGACCTCTTGTGACCCCGCAAGAAATTGGCTTTGTTGCCTGTTTAAAAAGAGTTTCAACGGTTACATCACAAATGCAACGTGTTTTATTACATCTAGGTTGGAGGACCACCATTGTAAGAGGGTGCATCACCCAGAAACTAAATTGCATTACTAAAATGCACTGACCTTTATTTTTAGTGTTTATCTGGGGATGCATGTCAGGGTTTGGCATCGATGGAGTCGATGTAATGACAAGCACTTTTAGAGCATTCACCTCAGCCTCTAATACTTCTATCTGTAAGTATAAGACAAAAAAGGTAAATGTCGCACTCATGAATACGTAACGTAATTGAAACTTGACAGTTTCAGTTTCCTGCCACCACTTGTTACCTGCTATCAGTAAATAAATCAAACAAAGGAGTCCCGATATCACTGTATCTGGGTTCCGATCCAGAGAGACTGAGTACAAGATTGCGTTGCGCAAAAAATAAGTCATTCCCCGACCGCCAAGAACAGAAAAGCCGCACACTTCCGCGGGAGCTAGCCGCACGCGACCGCGGGGTGTTCCACGTAGCATTTCGCGCTGCCCGCTATACAGATCTGCGCGTCGAATACAAGGGCGGGCGCGCAAATCCGATAGCGGGCACCGTAACATCGCGCAGTTTTTCTCACACGTACACCGGCTCGGCTACGGCCGCCTTGAGGGGGGGGGCCTTCTCGATTATAGATTTACCCGCGTTTTGACATCCTCGCCGTCGTCCCGTGACCGGCCGCATTTGCGTACCTTATCTGGCGCATATTGTCACCTGCCGTGACTAACAATTGTCACCTAGTCACTTCATGCCCTTTACTCGGTCTCCTCACCCTGCGTGTATTTGTTTGCTGTAGTATGCGCTAGATATCAATAAGGTATCTATATACACGCATCAATGCTGCTGCAGCCAGGCACGTACACATACACTTCATACCCCGGGCAGCAGTCCAGGGGGCACCGGACAGAGAAGACACAGACAGAGAACGAGAAACAGAGAGAGACAGGAGAGAACAGGGGGAGCCGAGAGCGAGGGTTGTGGGGAACCGGTTGAGGGGGAGATGTCGGTCGAGGGGGGGGGCCGCGGATAGAGCAAGGGAGAAGAAACGCCTAGAAACAAAGAAATCGAGAAAGAACCCGTTTTCCGCTCTTCTCCATTATAGATGTTGGCTTATCTCGTCAGACGCGCCACCTGTCTGGGTAGTATGGTCATTGTTTATTTCTCTTAAGCTGATCTAAAAAATCAAGGGTTAGTGATTTCACATATATAGGCGTTGGTATGCACCGAATGACCATCGACCGAGGACCAGATGAAACCAGGAGCAGAAGTGACGAGAGAGAGAGAATGGCATGTGCTTACATCGTTCACCGAGAATGTTATGTTGTTTGCGCCGCGGAAATATCAGCGGCGCAAAAACTCCGCGAGCGGCGAGTGACACCGTCAGCCAGGCGCCGCGGAGGCTGCTGGCTCATGTTTTTGCTGGGAGCATCGTTATGCATACGTATTCTCCACGTATTCTGGTCGCCACAGGCAGCGCGGGGGGACGAGGGGTCTGCAATCTCTCGCTCCGCCGTATTCGTAAAAACACGTGTAATAGAGATCACAGTTTCTTCGGCAACAAACGACGTCATCGCCTAGCGACCAATGAGCGACCATGTGGTCAGTGATTGACAGCATGTCTTGGCCTTTCTTGTAGCAGCGACTACGTCTTAACCTTGAGGCGCGCGACCCCCACGAGCAGTTCTGGGCCGTTTAGAGATGGCCTCTAGGCGTCGATCGCGAAATGTCGCTTGGAAACCGCCCCGTTTTCGAGCCGTTCCTGTTAATCTGTCTAAAGGGACAAAAAGGGGCGGCGTTTTCGCGTTCCGGGCGCGGCGTTACCGCGGACAGGCGCTTCGCGCATTCCCGGCCGCATTCCGTCAAGAACAGATAATAATGCTTACTATTTACAATTGATTCTGATGGTGGAAATATGGTTTATCATATATGAGATATGATTATCATTATGCATGCAATCCCAAGCTCTCAAACACCTGCCTTGCTACTTGCTTCTTTACGTTTCTTCTCTGCCAGTGCCTGCTTCTCATTCGCTTCTCTTACCATATTGTGTGCTTCCTGAAACAGATGTATGACCAGATATCAGGTAACACTTACAGATTAACTCCTAGGTGCTGAGCAAGTATAAACTGGCATTACATGATATAGCGTCCGTATGTGTTCATTAACTACATAAGTTTTCCCTTTCTTTTAATTATTATTACGAGTCAAGAAACAAAAATTTAACCATCTTCTTGAAGGTTACAAAAGTCATGGGACAGCTAGTGTTTAATAGAGTAAATTAACCATTTTTAAGATTCTTTCTGATCCTTTCTAACTATATTTGAAACAACAGAAATAACTCATCTGAATCCCTTCTTACTTGCCACATGCTATCTATGCTCAAACTTAGGATGTATTAGATAAAGTAATTCAAATTTTGTACTCTACTGTAGACTGCCATAAAACTGCATAATTAAACAAACACGCACTAATCCTACTTTACAGTCTACATTAAGGATCACAAGTTATGAATTACAGCATACATTCTACCTCAAAAAGACTTGCTGTTAAATCTTGAAGTTCTAGGCCAATCTCGTCCCGCACTCGTGACAATTTGTCCACCTCTTCGTCTTTCAACGATAGTTCCTTAAAAATTAATACAGAGGCAAAATGCATGTTCCATGGAGATAAGTCAGTCTGGAAGGCAACAGTATCTTTTGTGGCTCGTAATTTAAATAAACGTTTGCACACAATACAACATCTACAGTGAACAGTAGGTAATCTGTTATGGATTTTCTTGACACTGACAGATGAATAAATTACTTGCAAATATTGCACTGTCATGAACGAACGCTACTTTCCAGAGAATCAGTGTTGCCAAAACAGTATGATACAATGGTGTGCATGTTACTAGCATAAGCATAACATTTATCCATTGTAATTTCCAAGAAAAACAAGATTTGTACCTAGGAACACATTGATAGTTCACACACAATGGTTGCCAATTGATAAGAATGTATATACTCAATTTATAATATACGTATAATTATATATATATATAAATTTTTTTCATTATATAAACTATAACTAAATATACCATTAGAAGCATATATATGCAGGGCGCGAAATGAACAGTGCGCCCCCCCCCCCGGCATATGCCGACTTTCGCACCCACCTAATCTCTATGGGCTAATTCTAATAACAAGAACAATATAATATCAATTCAAATACAAGTTAATGAATGACATTGACATAAAAGATTTCAACATATGAGCATGGATCTCCAAGTTTAATTAGAGGGGGCGGGGGGGTCCTTCTCTCTCACCTCCCTCCCCACTGCGTCCCACCTCCCTCCCTCCTGCCTCTCACCTCCCTCCCCCGGCCTCCCACTTCACTCCCCTTGCCTCTCACTTCCACCCCCTTATACCTCCCATCTCCCTCCCCCTGCCTCCCACTTCCCATCCCCTTGCACACCATCTCGCACAACCTAATTGTACTCCGTTTCCCGCTCGCATACACACCGTATCACCGTTTTCCTGTCCCCGTCTCAATTTACTACTCTCTCGCTCTCTCTTTATCTTAGACTTTCTCTCTCTCTCTCTTAATTATTTAATTATTTTTTTAAACCCAGCGATGATGCCTTTTACTGCCCCCTCAATAATACTTCGTTCCTATGCTCCTGGGTGTAACAGTCATAGAAATAATAATATATAGTCACATGTCTCTAATATTTCTATGGTAACAGCTTATGTTCGCATAACTGGTAAATGGATACGCACGGCCATAGCTACATGATATATGTTAAGATTCAAGATAAATGTAAATATATATTATATGGTACTAGTTATAATTTATTCGTTTAACAAAGTTACATGAGAATAAAATCTAATTTAAACTAGGCCTATAAGTTGCCTCGAAAGATGTGCCGCGTGCAAGTGTAATCAATAATCAAAAGATGGCATTGCCCTTCTTGATATCTATACCCTAACTAGCTCCCTGGGGAGTTCTGAAATCCTACAGGCTAAATCCAAGTAAGTATAATTCAGGCCAGCCGATAATTTCGCTCAGCTGTGAGTTAACACATGTGCATTGCAGGTGTTGGCAGCAACAATTATAATTAGAAGAGTGCCAGCCATGGGCGCCCTGTGTTTTTGCCACCCACGCTAGCATTCACTGATTCAGCCTTCAGGGGGCTATAGACAGACTGCTTAGAAAATAATATGATTTAGAGGAGGGTAAACCTTGTTCAACAAACATTTGCCTTTGCAATTAAAACTGTGCAACTGTAGCCTCACATTCACACAGGTATGGGCTCTAATAATAGCAAAAGCAGTTCAGTCCTTTGTTAACAGTCAACAAATCAATGTTTAACCCTCCTCTGAGGGTCAAAAGGTTATCCGACACTTACTCTTCGCATGTCAGCGGAAAGTACATTTCATGGTCCTTTCAATAAAGCCATAAAAATGCTAGGTCACCGCTGAAAAAAAATTTTTTTTTAATCGCTCCGTACAGACCATGTCCTCAGAAAATGTCTAAAATCTGCCTGTGCCCCATTGACTTTGACCTGTGACTCCAATTTTGGCACAGTGATGGCTTTCCTACCATAATGCTATACACTGACTATCACGAGCCTAGGTCGAGCCGTTTAGATTTGTGCCGCAATTCTGCATTTTCCTCCCTAACCTTAAGTTAAGAGGAATGTTCCCCTTCTTTTACACCTCTTGACCTTTGACCTTTGACCCCCAGCTTCGACATCCCAACTCGTCGATTACCCCCCACGTCCCAACTTTCGAATCCGTACGTCAAGCCGTTTAGATTTGTGCCCAACTGTTGATGCACGGACGGCCGGACGAACGCACGCTCATGCGATTCTACAAGCTGCATCTGACTATGTTAGATGAGCTAAAAACCTGTTGGGCTTTCTTTAGCTCCTGTTGTAATCGAAGGTATCCAATTTCCACGACTTCTGCCATTGACATGGACCGTGGGCGTCGGTGTACAATTGTACTTGTTGTTCGGCCGAGCATGTTTCTCTCATCATAGATGTCATCCTCTAAACTCTGATGCCTGATAGCAAAACAAGAAAGATTAGTTAACTAAAATGTGCTCACTAGCAATATTGCTGCGACTCTCACAACAAAATATTCAAGCACAATATACCTCGTTCGACTGCCTTTTATGTCGTCTCCCTTGCAAATATAACTGATTATCCATTTCTCTATCCATATCGGTGTCTGGAGGGCAACTTAATATGGAGCACAAGGCCTTCGGATACATAGATTACTAATTGAACCATCCGGATCAGTGGCGAAACTGCTTAATTTATAAAGGGACACATAACCCTAGGTTCACTGCATATTTCCAGTTAAAATGTTTAAATTATGCTACATAAAAAATTCCATTGTTCAATATTCATTACAAATAATTTTTTTTAATGTTTTAAAACTGATGGCTATACCGTTGCTTATAACGATGGTGGTGCCAGTACAAGTGCATGTACACTGACAAAGTTGCGCAATGCAAATTTTCGGCTGCAGGCTATACAGACCTAAAGTGTTTCCTATTTATTAATTTAAGAGGAGAATGACTGCAATATCTTATAAACAACTCTTAATTTCAGTTATATGATGGGCAAATTTGACCTAATATAAGACATGAGAATTCTAACGGAGAGTTACAGGTACCTAGTTCTCAGTGGTGAGGTCGCTCCTTTTCTGTCAATGTTTTTGTTATGATCGACAACTGTGGTCTGGTCTCTATGACTATGAGCATCAGTCTCACTCTCACCCTTACCATCCAGAATATGATTCTGACCTGGCCCTTCCGCCATTGTTTAACTATTTATACCCTGAAACACAAATATAATAATTAATACTGCTAACTATTACTAGACTTTAGATCTTATCGATTATTAGATCTTCAAAAAGCTTTTGATACCGTTGACCATAAAATTCTACTAGCCAAGCTAAAAACTATCGGAATGGCTATTAGGACTGTGAAATGGTTCGGTGCTTATCTCTCTGGTAGAAGCCAAATAACTGATGTAGGAGGTACCTTCTCTAATAAGGATTGCATGTGGAGTACCACAAGGCTCAATTTTGGGCCCTCTGTTATTTCTGATTTATGTTAATGACATGGCAAAGGCAGTTAACGTCAAGCTTTTATTATATGCTGACGATTCTGCCTTAGTAGTTTCAGGTACAGAGGTACAGGCTATACAGGAAGAATTAAGTAGAGAATTGCATTCCATTAATAAATGGCTCAATGATAATAATTTATCCTTGCATCTTCAATGATCTTGGAAAAACAGAAAGTATTATTCTTGGAACTAAACACAAACTCAGGGATAATCCAAAACTGGACATCAGATGTAATGGGGTGGCAATTGCACATAAAAATACAGTTTAGTATCTAGGAATAGACTTGGAAGACTCCATGAGTGGTGAGGTAACGGGAATTAAGGTTGTAAAAAATGTTAACAATAGATTGAAATTTCTTTCCAGAAAAGCTAAGTATTTAAAGTTACTAGTTAAGTTAACTTAGTTAACTTAACTTAACTTATACTTAGTAACTTAACTAAGTTACTTAGTTAAGCTAACTTTAGTAACTATAAGTTACTTACTAAGTTACTACTAACTAGTAAGTTAGTAGTAACTTACTAACTTAACTTACTTAGTTAACTTAACTTAGTTAAGTTACTAACTAAGTTACTTAAAGTTACTAGTTTCTAGTTTAAGTAAGTTAAAGATTACTAGTTTCTGCCTTAATTCAATGTCATTTTGACTATGCAAGCAGTATTATGGTACAGCAGTCTCACAAAGCGCACAAGGGCTAAGCTGCAAGTGTGTCAAAATAAAGCCATTAGATATGTGTTCTCAACCTAGGTACTAGAGCACACATAGGTGCTAGAGAGTTCAAGGCTGTAAATTGGGTACCTGTAGAGTTCAGGGTAATGCAACTGAAGGTCAATAAGGTTTTTAAAATATTACATAATCTTGGTCCACAGTATATGACAGGTTTCATGTTAACGTCAGAAGTACATAGTTTCAATACAAAAGAAGGTGAGATGTCTATTTTTAAACCGAGGGTAGGAAGCAGTGGCAGGCTTCTCCCTATGTTGCGCAAACCGGGCGCGCCCGCCCCGTTTGGGAAAACTCCCCCCCCCCCATTTCAATCGCTGCACCACGTTTAAATTATTTCCGCCCCGATTAAAACAACATTTTTTTTTTTAATGGGAATGGCTACATGAGGAACAGGCTGAGTGAGTCAGCTTTGGAGGCGCTGCTGCTACTGGCAATTGAGGGGCCACCTCAGCAAAAATTCCCATTCGACCCACTGGCTCTAGTTATATATAACTACTATAACAACTATAGCTACTATAACAACTATATATAACGTTGTTATATATAGTCAAAAGATGCGTGTGTGCTGTAGCTGCGGACTTGTTCTTGCTGCCAGTGATTTGACCAGGCCCCCGGACCCCCCTAGTTTCCCCTCCCCCTCCCCCCCCCCCTTTCCTCCCTCCTCCACCCTGTTTCAATTTTATCCTGGGGAGAACCCTGAGTGAGAAAAACTATTTTACTTATACTGCAATTGAAGCTTGGAACTCTCTACTACAGCAAGTTAGGAGAAATTCTGTTTATTCTAGTTTTAAGTATAGTATTAAGAAATGTCTGATGAAAAAGGTAGAAACATTAGAGGCAGAGGAGTATGATTTTCGCTAAAAGAATTCGGCTGAAATTAGGCATAAGAAAAGTTGTTATCGTCTTATGAGAATGTACCATATATTGTATGACCGGTTAAAACTACAAATTTGTATATTTCAATATTGAATAGGGTAGGTATAGTGCTGATAGTAGTGTAATTGTTAGATTCAAGGCATAGCAAAACAAGGACCACAATGTAAATAAGTGACAGTGTGCTAGTCATGCTTTTTGTGTATATATCCTTGGTAGTTACGGTATCCAATTTTATGAATTAAAAATATTTTATTGTAAAAAAAGTATGGTACCGGGGTATGTATTGTATATGATGAAATAAAATAAAATAAAAAAATAAAAAAATAAGACTTCTAAAAGTAAAAACTAAAACGTCTTCTAGCCACCCGTTAAAATTGAGTTTCTTGCTTAGACCTCAGCCGGTTCAAGGATAGAGAACATGGGTCCCAACAAAACCAATGTCATTTACTTAATGTTCTCTACTCTCTCTACACCTATTCATTGCCGACAATTTCTGTAAATGCGTTCAAATGACAATCTGGCAACACACGCTGCTGCCGAACACTGACACCATAAATATATAGCAGGCCAGGAAAGCGGGCTGTTCAAAATTCGCATCGACTGCTCGCTTGATTTCATACGAATACACACACAAATATTCAACCTTCTATCCATCTTTGTTTCTATTTGAAAGACAGTGTTCACTTGTTATAAAAACATACTGTCTGTGTTATTGCTCCTGTTGCGCAGTATATGTAAATGGCTGTCGGAATCAGGAAACGCCCACCGGCGCTCTTCGTGACCTCATTTTTGCGGCCGCATTATTGCAACGCTCCACTGGTGGCTTTGACGAGGCTCGTACGGGAATTGGAAAGCAGCGTGGTAGTTTCCCAAAAAGGCAGTGCACCGCCTATAGCCCTGTACTTGCAGCCATTTACATTAACTGGGCAACGAGAGTGAACGCGAGAATTTCTTTAGGCTTTGTGTAATTTTGCGTGACACAGCTCGGTTACGAACACACACAGTATGTTTTTATAACAAGTGAACACTGTTCATCAAATAGAAACAAAGACAGAGTAGAATGGTTGAATATTTGTGTTGAATTCGTATGAAATCAAGCGAGCACGATCGAGCGAATTTTGCAGCACGCTTTCCTACCCTAGATATTTATGTGTCAGTGTGCAGCAGCTAGCGTGCGGCAGCCAGCGTGTATTGCAGATGTCATTTGGACGGCATTTACAGAAAATTGTCGGCAATAATAGGTGAAAGAGAGTAGAGAAACATTAAGACTTTGGATAGTATGGTAGTAAATAGATTTCGTATTTATTTAGCATTATAATTTATATTTTATTGAGACGCTCCAAGTGCCTGTGGATGAGCAGTTATGTGGCAATTCCCTTTAGTACTTTACATTGGTACTTGTCCGTAACCCCCGAGTGTATCCTTAAGAGTTTAATGTACCACCTGCGTTTCACAAGACAATATTAGGCAATTCTATATCAAAGATATGCAAGATCGCGTTATTTGTTGAATTTGAACTAAATAGGCCTGTACCGTAGTATTTGGACGCTCGCCCGAAACTGGACGCTCCTAAGTGCGCAT